AATCAGTGCAAAAACTTGCATTTAATTAACTAAACACCCACAATCAAGTCTGTTAGGTGCTAAATGCACTACAATAGTGATGCACAGTTGCACGATGGAGAACTGCGCCATGCAGATTGCACTTCCTAGCGAGTTCTTTTCTACATAAACGTGGTTTTTGTTTTACTGTATATATGGTAATAATAATGTATGTAAAGTTAACCAGGTGCTAAATGCACTAGAATCGCCCTGTGCAAACTGCATTTTGGCCACAGTTCATTCTTAGCGATGTCCCTTCTGAAGTGGTATTTGCTTTATATATGGTGATTTACATGAACTGTTTCTGCATATATGATTTATTTACTCATGTGAAGGTCTCATGTGGTGAATTCTTACTGTTGTTTTTAGTTGTCAAGTCACTATTGTGGTTGCTCTGGGATTCTTCCGGATTGAGCACCAATGGCGTTGTGGCTTTCTGAAGTAGCTTTGAAATTCATGCTGAGAGGAGTGTGGTTGATGACTTACTGTAAATGATGCTTATCTATCTAGATCTCTCTCTAATCTGTTTATGATATAAGTCAGGTTGAAACTATAAAGGACACTTTCAAAACCCCAGGGTTCAGATGCATTGCGATTTTGGCACAGCTTTGTACAGTACGTGTTTGTGTGAACGTATATCAGTTGATAAGAGATCCGCTTTGTAGTGCAAAAGTCATTATACCTAGAATTAACTAAACTAGCCAACGATAATCAGACGGCCGCTTCAAAGGGTGAGGGAAGAAGCTAGTGTCTTTGTAGATCGGCCTCAATTGGTTATTTCTTTTCAAAATTCCTCCTAGTAAAGTCTGGTCTTCTTCTCTCACCCTAGATGCCGGTGTTTGCGGGGCAAGTGGGCGGTCATTACCCCCGCGCCCACCACAGCCCCATGCTAAACCCATCTGCCCGGATACTGCCCCACCCCATGAGCGCCCTGTCCCAGCTCAGCTCTCAGATTGGCCAAGGCTCCTTTACACACGGTTCCCCATCATCGTCAGGAAGTCAGTCAGCCACGCCCTCTCCCTCAAGCTCCACCCAGGAAGAGGAAGCAAAGTACCACTCAAAGGTACAAGAACGAGAACAACAAAGCGCTGGCGTTTTACAGGCCGTTCAGCATGAAAATGCACGTTAGCGCAATAGAGAGATCTTGATTATACTTTACAGGAGCATTTGTTAATGCATTAGGTTGCATGAACTAACAACACTTTTACAGCCTTTCTTTTAATTTATAAATATAATATTGTTCTAAATTGTTAATTCATGTTTCTTCATAATATATGAACCAATATCAATTTGTATAACTTGAAAGGTATTAGTATATGTGGAAATTAACATGAACCGTGATTAGCATGCTGTAAAAGTATTGTTACTTCATGTTAGCGATTACATATCGAAACGTGTTGTAAAGCATTAGTGACTTTTTCGTCAACGGTTGTAAGATTTACACTATTTTTTAAAAAGACATTACTACTTTTATTCAGCAAGGATGCATTCAATTAATCAAAAATGACAGTAAAGCCATTCATAATGTTAGACAAGATTTCTATTTCAAATAAATGCTGTTCTTTTGAGCTTTCTATTCATCTGTGAATCCTGAAAAAAAGATATATCAACGTTTGCACACAAATATGAAGCAGCACAACTGTTTTCAACATTGATAATAATCAGAAATGTTTCTTGAGCAGCAAATCAGCATATTAGAATGATTTCTGAAGATCATGTGACACTGAAGACTGGAGTAATGATGCTGAAAATTCAGCTTTGATCACAGAAATAAATTACATTTTAACAGATATTCACATAGAAAACAGTTATTTCAAATTGTAAACATATTTTACAATTTTACTGTATTTTTTATTTAAAAAATGCAGCCTTGGTGAGCAGAAGAGACTTCAATCTATATATAGTAGCTCTTTCGTCACTTTTCGCCGTTTCCATGGTAACTGAGGCTTCTCTGATTGGTGGATTTTTCTCTTCAGAATTATGGGCAGGAATTTGGCTATTAAACGCAAGCAAAGTTAAAATCACATTGGCTACAGGATCATATATCATCAGTGAATTACCTCAGATCTCATGGCAGATCTGTCTCGAAAAGTTTATACGTTATCGTTAAAAATCTGTTCCTCTATGGAAAAGAATTAATGTGATTTTTACTTCCGTAATCCGTCTGCTGCACTCTATAGAGGAGCATAAACGGCAGACTTTGAGAGCTTTGAGAATAATTTCCCCTCTTTATTTAAAAGCAAACGATTTTCCGTGTGTCTCAATAGTGTTTACAAATCTCTGCATTTTAACTTCACATCTTGACGTCTTTTGTTCACTGTGATTTGTTGGCAAAAACATTACTCTGTTTCTCTCTCTCTCTCGCTCTCCCTCTCTATCCCTCTTTTCATTTTCATTGTCCCAGAAAACCAATTACTCCTGCTTGTCCGTCATCCTCTCCTTTTATTGGAAGTGTCAGTTTGAATTTAATTTGAATGTTGCATGTAATGCGCAGGCAGCTCGAAATCCCTCATTATCGCGACGCTGCATGCTTAATTGGATTGGAGAACACAAAGAGTGAATTAACTTACATGATGTTTAAATTACATTGTTCTTCAGCGGGTTTGTGGAAGAGTCCGGCCTAATACAGTGCAAAGGCCGGTGCATTTATACCTGGTCCGGGTAGATTTAAAAAGCCAGTCAAAATAGTGAAAGAAGTGTTTCAGTCAGCCTGAAATCCTGGTGGATTTTAATAATAATGCCGTCTCGACAACTGGAACAATTAGCACATTTCATTCCCATCGGTATTTCCTTTGCAGGAAATGCTTGCAAACACAATTCTGCTCATTGACACGTACAAATGCACGCTAATGCATTTAAACTCTGTGACACCGACACAAACACATCGATCCTGCGTTTCATTTTCCTCTGGAATGTGCCGTGCACTCATGGATGGCATATGAGTTTGTTTGCGCTTGATTAAATTCAATGTATATAAATCCAAAGCATTTAATGGCTGGATTCCAGTCTGGTTTCCAAAGTGCATGTGCTGCTTTTTATCTTGTGTGTGCGTCTGTGTGTATATGCTTTCATGCATGTGAACGTGTGCTTTTGCATGCATTAATTGAATCCTTTAGTTTGGAAATATGCAGCTGTGCACATATAGGCGACGTGTGTGCACATGTGGAAAACATACATACAAGTCATGCACATACTAGTCACTGTAATGCATGCAAACTTGATTTCATATCAAACACAAAACAACACAATGAAGAGTGAACATTCCATTCTCAGTGCTGCCCCAAGTGGCGCAGTAGCAGCATTGACATGAATTGTCTTCTTCTGCGGTTTATTTCCATCACAGTCAGTTATGAACAGGCGTTGCACTATACTACATAGTCAACATATGTTTGGATTCAAATGAAAACCTCACTGCATTTTGGTGCACACATCTCATGACAGATTTGAGAGACACATACAGTATGCTCCAGTCAAATGAAAATGTTTAGTATGAAATTTGATTAATTCACACTGACAGCTTCATTTTGGACATCTACAAGTTTAGTTTCTGTGTTGATTTATTTCCATTTGGAAATTCAGTCTTATTCTGTAGAACATTTTATTGAAATAACATTTGGATACGCCCCTTTAAACATAATGATGTCCATTTTGGTCCATTTTCCCAAAAGAGAAAATCTGTGAATTTTAAATGTATTTATTTTGTTCACTTTTAGTACCTTAATGATATTAGGTAAATGCAACAAATGTCCAATTTTAATATGTATATCTTTATAATAAATTTTTATTATATATTTTAAAATATATTA